GGGTGACATGTAGCCAAAAACCTTAAGTGTGTTACTGCTGGGCGATTATTTTCTCCTTTTTGTTAGCGATGAGGATTTTATGCCACGGTTTTTATTTTTCACCATTAACATTTCTGCTGCTGTTGCGTCAGACTTCAGAAAGACTAAGTAATTTTTGCTGTGTATTGGATTCGCTAAGCTTATTTAGTTTAAGCGTTTTCGTAGGTAGATAAGACTTTCTGAGTGTTTTTGTGAGAAATGTCACGTTTACTGTGATCCACACGAACTGTTGCCAGTGTATCATCCGCGTTACATCTTACCCCTTCCCCGACCGATTTATGCAGTTGGGGTTTGTGACGATGAACAGGAGACCTGTGAACGTGGATGCAGTTTCAGTGCACAGAATCAGTTCTTCTGTCATCGCACATGCTTGAACACAAACGGAAAGTGCAGTGAGTCTCAAACCAATTTTGAAAAAGATGTATTTTCCACGTAGTCAACAGTCAACATTCAGAATACACATCCATGCAATTCAGCAGCCTTACATAATATGTACTGTTTTATCCTTCTTCATTGAGCGTAAATTGAACGTCATTCACAAATGCTTTTCAAACTCTGCAGATTGTAACTCTTTCTGTGTCACAATGCATGGGGATCAGTGCTTAAAAATTTGGTGTGACTTAAAAATGTCTCTAGGAATAAGCACGAATAGAATGGTATTTACTGTTTAATATTGGAAATGTACACCTAGACCACGAGCAAGTTTGTTTCTCACTCTCTCATTACCTACTGTTTTGCTGCTCAGATAAGGTGCAAACCATTAGGGTTCATCAGAATTCTATTGATCTTATTGGTGTAGTCTGCCAGATTTCTGGAGAATCTTACGTGCTTGCATCATTAAGAAGTTTTTTGTCCTTTTATGCAACCCTCATTGTAATGAAGAAGGTTATAAACGGAAGATTTAGCCGGATTTCCGATGAAACTCCTATAAACTCCAGGATGGCATGTAAATGAGTGCATTCGTCGAATCTTCAGGCAACTTTTCTCGTCTAGCAAGATAACGGCAGCTTTGTGCACTGTCTGCCTCTGGAAGATGAAGCAACATGTGTTCGTTCTCACTTGGTGGGTTTTGCGGTAGCCTGCACTATGAATCGATGCATTCCTCATTTGGTTCAGTGGGTTTTGCCGACAAACGTCCATAATTTGAGTGCTTAAAGTAGTACCGTTACAAGGTTCAACTTTGTTCTGCCGATATGCCTTAACTCCTTTTCAATGTTGAAGAATGAGACACGCTGGAATGAGACCCAAATTTCTAGGTCGTTTGGTTAACTCAAAGATACGTGGTCCTGCCGTAACGTCTCAAAACCATGAGCAAACCTTTGCAATGCATGCCTCTTTTGTTCATTAGGGTGTTGTATCGTGTGTGGCCTTCCATTGGTTAGGCCTACACTGAGCCCGCCAGACTACGCGGTAAGGAGAAGACAGATAACCCTGGACACGTCTGTATTGTCGGGACAAAATATACAGAGCTTCTGCGTAAATATATAGAATGACTACAGGGCCAAATATGGTTTGTTCTGTACAGCCAATGGTGGTGTTCCGGTCGTGAACACTTTCAGGCCCACTCCATTGGTCGTATGTTGCTAGACCGTGTTTGGTGAGCTCCACCAACGTACCTGCCATTCGGAACGTGTGGTACCGATGATGACATTGGGGATGCGTCATTCTCTACACATTTGCTTTTTTCATGTCTGGGCGCTTCCTGACATAGAGATAGTTTCTTATCTTTTCAGTTGATTAAGTGGATCTGTGCTCATCAGAAGTTCATCAAGATACAAAAGTGACTTGGTATTACTCATGTGATGACAGTTGCAAATAGTCTTATTCGTATTGGTGTATCTTTCCATTCAAGTTGACAACAGCGGTGTGATGTTACGGAAAAGGACCGCAGGTTAATCGACGCACACTTGACCATTCCATGAAAGAAATGCTGTACAATCTCAGTAATTATCCACCCGCTGAATGCACCCAATAAAAGCACTCCCTGTTGTTATTGCAAAATTGCATTGTTATGTTTTCTTGTATGTGGATCAGTGAAATTTCAGCAAGGAAGTTATACTTTGCGAGGAATGCTTATAATTATTCGGATTAACATGGATTTTTACGACGAAAGGTGCGAAACGTTTGTCGCACAACTGTTTTGCAAGACATTTAGGACTGTTCCATCAATATAATAACCTCCGCTTTGGTTGCGTCGGCATTCTGAAGTTGACTAAGTGAATCGATCAGATTTAGTCGAGCCTAATGGAAAAATCTGGCCTTGAACACGAATCCTACAAAACAAACACGGTCCTGCATATCCGGTCGTTCTGCTCAGCTGGTCAGTTAGATTGACATCATTAATTAGTATTCCGTGAAAATTCAGTTCTCACTCTGAGAATGACATTATGAACGACTGGTTACTGACGCAAAATTGACTTGATAATAATTTCTGATCAATTCACAAAAAACGTCGAAAAAAGTGACATTTTTGCAAACTTTCTAAGGTCGTGATGAATCAGTCATTTGTACAGGCCTACTACCGTTCGTAATTTCCCCAATGTGCCATATGTGGGTCTTGTATTCTTAAAACATCGGACACATCATGCAAACGAACATATGTGGGGACATTGATCAACAGCTGGATGACGTTGCTCTTCAAAACATTTTCTGAATCTAGAGGAACGGTTTTGCTGCACATCGACTGGGTAGCACAGAGATTTGATACAAAATGAAGGATGAAGGACGTTAAATCATAGCTTAGCTTTCATGCCTTCAGATAACTTGTCATATTACCTGATAAATTAAACAAATAAGTCATAATCCTTATATCCTCGACAAAAACTAAAACTCTCTTCATTTGCAAATCAATTTGGCTTTCACGAGAGACTTTACTCACTCTCTCGTTTATGATATTCTACATCTGAATGTGCTGCACACAGGCCACCTCGTGTTTCAGTTGGCACGACATTCAAGATATCGCAGTATATTTTCATAAAGGAAACTACTCACAAGGTTGTTGAAAACTCTTCGACAGCTCACGACCGGTTTCAAGTAAGACATACGGTCGACGGAAACTCGAAGACTGCACCTACATGATGAGCCCCGAGAAGGGCGAAACCGGTCGTGCGCTGTCGAAGAGTTTTCAGCAACCTTGTGAGTAGTTTCCATTGTGACTAAAACTCTTTTCTAAATGCTATCAGCCAAAGCTCACTGAAGGCAGTCTGGCGTTTTTCCACGCTTCCAATATATATAGTCTCGCCCATTGTGAATTCCAGAAGGATACAGGTGGCTGCATACAGGTTGTGAGCATCAAACCCACAATCTGTTTGCCAGCACAATAATGCTTTCATTACGACGCTCGCTACACATGTGCGTTGATAAACTGTGACATCCGTTCTAGACTAAGGTTTTTTATATTACGTTTGAACTTACATTATTTCTTAGTCGTCCTTCTGCCTACCGACACTTCGTACGGTTGGAGTGAGCCAACATTAGTCAATAGGCGTCCGACTGACGTAAGCGCCTTGATTAATCTAATATTGGTTTCCCAGCATTGAGATTCCTTGATAAATGACAATGTATCTTTGTAGAAATTTTCAGCAGTCCTTAACCTCCTCATCTGAAGGGCGTTTGTGATAGCCCGGTACAAGATGACGTTTTGAGCTACCAGTTCTTATCACAGAATATTTTAATGAGTTTTTGAAAACAACAACTACAGTTGTTGCTTTGTATACCTAGTCAACTAAAAATAACAATAAAAGTCATTAACTGGATTTTATATGATGCGAAATGCGCTGGATTTTTGGGATGTTGGCACAAATCTTTTGATTTCCTTTTGGAAATGTTAACATATTTCCATATATGGGGTCGGAATTATTCTTTAAGATCTGAACAGAAAAAGAGTTTCAAAAGCAAAGCACATTCAACTCGGTAATATACCTTATTGTTACTATGACTTCGATCGTAAAGCAGCCATACTGAAAGTTAGACGACAAGTGGTGAAGGCCTTCGATACCAGTGGACGTGGAAAGCCATGGCTCCTAATCACACTAAATAGTCTTGAAAGGACGAACACCCAAGAGCCCCACTGCAGGCTGGTTCAACCGTCACCTCGGCTCCCATTCATGGATGGATCAGTTTGTCACTGTTCACTTCCATCTTGTCAACAACACTGTGTAAATTACATTTTTGTATTTCACCGTATTTGATGTTGTTTTTATCAGCCACGGCCCAGTCATAACGATCTTCACAATTCCCTTGTTTTTAGTACTTTGTTTCCCTACATGCGTGATATGGACAAAACTCCATCGGTGCGATGGAGCTCACGTCCGTCTGGCCAGTGGGACAGGGGTTGGATATTGTCCAACAGAAATTTATTGGTACATTCCACAACTGATACACTCAGTTCACACATGTTCATTTTTCTTGCAAAAGAACAAAATTAAAACCCGAAGATTAGGTTGGATAAGACAATGAAAATATAATGGTACACCCAAAACGCAAAAAAACATTGGTTAAGTACAACTTCATGAAAATGAAGTACCTAGCTTTCTTATGGTTTAACGAGAAAATCACATCCATATGAGCAAATAAAAATTTGAAGTTTGAAGCGTAAGAACTGCTTCTGGGTTACAGCTAGTGAATTTAAGTTATTCAGAAGAATTGTGTATAAAATGGGCCAATTTCGAAACCGACTGCTTTATAAGAAAACCACCTATCGTAGCTGCGCTTACACTGATATTAAAAATTTTCAGGTAAGCAAAAGACTACTCGCCAATAGTCAGACGTCCGCATAGTCATTCCGAGAACAGCATTTAGCTACACTGTCTTTGTCTCCGTGATACCCATACGAGCATTTGGATCAACCTGACTCCTTGCTCCAAAGCTGACCTATTCAAGCCCTTCTTATTGTTTGGCCAAAACTCGCATGCACACCTCGACTCAACGACCAAAGGTTTCCGATTTGTTGTCCTGAAAGTAATATTTTATCCTTTACCTTTTGATTGCAATGTGGTAGTTAAAGGCCACAAAATCTACTTTAGGCTGTTCCTTAAAATGAACTTAATTTGGAAATTTAACGGTGATATTACTGTAGATGACGCCAACGGTAGGCTATTCCAGCAAAAAAAATTCATCGAAGAATAACCAACTGTACTGACAAATCAGCCTTATCTACCTCAACTAGTATCAGAAATTTGATAAACAGTGGATGCATCTATGCATTCAACACTTGCAAACATATTGCATAAAAGTTTGTGAGACGATTTTTAATTGCATACACTCAGCAATCCTGAGGCATTAAATTCTCTTAACTCGTCTGCTTCGTCAAAAATGTTGTACGTCCAATTTAAGCATCATTTTTGCTCAAATTATAAATCATCAAAAGATTCCTTCTTGATGTAATCAGAAGATGTATCCACTGACATAGATCTCAAACAAATAGCAGAGAGCTGAAAATCTGGTGGAAAGACTTTCTACAGGGTTGGCCCCCTTAATGGAATGCAACCATGTAACTGAGTTGAGCACATCGTTTTGTTGATGTTTGGTTTTCTTGTTTACGTTCTCTTCACTGCGCTTTACCAGACACAAGTCCAAGTGATTCGTGCAAATTCCGCGAACCATACAGAGGAACGTGGAACTTGATTGAAGATGAATACCACGGAGCCTCCAGTACAACTACTGACATTTTACTTGTTGAAGAAAACAAGCTACGTTTCAACACATCGAGTCATCTACAGCAAGAGGACGAATTGCACTGTGTACGTGAACTACGAGAAGCGGAACAGGATTTGTACGTCGTTAGGAGCTCACCACAGATGAACGGGTGGTACGTATAATTACCGTTTCTATACTACGTTATTCTCTATAAAAGCTTGCTTTTACGGTTTTCACTGTTAACCAGTTCAATTCGATTGTCACTCATAACCTTGTGCCTAATGATACGAAATTTCTAGTCAGAATAACTCATTGCAACTCAGTAGGAAGTATCGGGTTGGGCATGTTATTATATATATCGCGTAGGTTTATACTTTTTACGCAGAACCCGGTAAATCAACACATCTTCCATTATCGCATGTATTGTATCAGCTAGCCAAAACCTACAAGTTAACAAAATACAACCATTTCGCAGTGAGACGCCCAAGTGGGCTGGGCAAAGAGAAAATTACTGACCGATGGCTGCAACTGAATGTAAACTAAGTGAACCGATCCATATTGGCGGACAATGAATACGTCCTCTGTGCCAGATTATTTTTGTGAGTACAAATTCATGTCATCCATATGGCCTCCTCCGAATGTACCAGTATCAACTTTTACAGCTTTAAGGACTCCCTAATCGACCACATCTTTACCGCCCGCATGTCTTCAGGAGACTATGAGTTAGCGACTTCTAGTTTAGTAAGAGACTCATTTAAAACTTATGGTGATGTTGAGAAGAGACTCTACTGAGCCGCCGTTTCCTTGATCCGAATGTGCTCAACGAAGTAAGCTTCGTAATACGTGACTTATTTTCTTTAATAAGGCTACTGACATTCTTGTAAACCTTAATAGTGCCATATTTATGAAACTGGTGGTTAATCAAAATGATTAAATATTGTATTATTAAGTGAAACATTTTTCACGACCAAAGTGTGGTGTCTTTACGGAACTTTTAACAATTAATCCGTTGTTGTAAAACAAAGATGAATATGATTGGTTAACTTGTATACGTGCCTCCTTCGGGGTGATTCTTTTGCATCTTCCGTTTACTTTGAGATGTCAGTTCAGCTTAACAGTGCAGGATCACTTCACTCAAATGGATTAATTTCAGGAGCGCATATGTGTGACAACGAAAGGCAACATATCACCGATCGTCCTCATTACTCACGGACAGAGTTTGGATCGAAATATCATCATGAAGTGGTTGTTGATCTCTCTAATGGACAAACTCGAAGTTAGACGACGAATGTGCAACGTGGACCGGTGTTCTGGATAGACCGCACAGTTGTACCCGAAATCTCTCCGTTCTTTTACATCGTGCGCATTTAGACTTCGCTAGATTAATTATACGCACTCAAAAAATTTGCCTTCCAGTGCTGGTGGATGTACCCATTGGCCATAATAAGTTTATATCAGAAGACTATTCATGAGGTCGCTGAAAACTCTTCGACAGCCCACGATCAGTTTTGCCCTTCTTGGGGCTCATCAGGTAGGCGCAGTCTCCGGATTTCCGTCAACCCTGCGAGTGGTTTCTTTTATGAAAATATACTGCGATGTCTCAGATATCGTGCCAACTGAAATATAAGGTGGCCTGTGTGCAGCACATTCACTCGAAAAATATCATAAACGAGAGCCATAGGTGAAGGGTAAAATAAGGAATAAACTCTTACGGCCAAAGCTATCCATGACTTTCACCAAAATGATATGTCCTTGAATATTTCTTATACTGATGAATGTTCTTGGCAAAGTGGGGTTTCTATCAACCGAAAACCAGGAAACTCAACCCAAAATTACATTCCCCCTGTACAACCAGCCCTACGGTTAGGCGGCCTCGCCTTTCGAAAAGACGTTTTATTCACTTGAACTAACTTTCTCCCATAAGATTTGTTTTCTGGTCCAATAGTTCATTCATTTAGTCCACCATGATTGATATTTTTTTAGAATTACAGGATTATACTCAAAAAGAGCATATATTTCTCTTTTCGTCCCATTAAAAGTCGCGCGAGAGATGTGTGTTTCGAGATAAACCAAAATGGGCGAATATATTCCGCCCAAAAACGGCGGTTAGACACGCTGCTGTACAGAATGAGTAAGTAACATGCCAACCGATATCTGCTTTCTTACTAACGTACGTCTGTTTACGCTATCCAGCTGTAGTCAGTCGTTTTTAACAGAATAACGCTTTTCTCATTTTTTCTCGCTCCAGATGAAGCTAGAACATTCAGAAGTTGTAAATATTCCACTCAAAACAGACGTGTACTGACTTCTTGACAAACTTTGAGCTGCGCTCGGGTAAATTATTGAAAAACGTTCTCTGTGTGATTGACCAACCTGGTCTGTTTATTGATCCAATCGAAGTTTCCCTCTCAGCAACATCATGCGTTGTGCCGAAGGACTCCAAAACCAAAACTCTGGTACCATGCTGCTAGTAACTTTTATCGTACTGTGAACTCCGCTATATTATAATCAAATTTTGGTGCAGTCAAGCAAAAGATGGTGCCCAAAACCCAGTTACATTCGATTATCAGGTAAACTTGGTTGTTGATCAGGTGGCTGCTTGCAAACTTTCGTCACCATACGAGGAGACATCATCAGTGCGCAGTTGAGTGGGTACTTCTTCCTTGCCTGCGTACGCTTATATAGCAATCGAGGGCTATCTGTTATCTTCTGACGTGATTGGCTACTTAAAGTGTAACAAATTTGGTGAATCTATTAGTCCATTTTTGATCTTTGTTGCGTTGTGGTCTGCGTTCCTTTGTGTCGATTGGTTATCCTCACGCCTTCTATTTTTAGTGGTTCGTTCTCTCCGGCCTCGGGTTGTATTGCGTTGTGGTCTGACGTTCTTGAGTTTGATTGGTTGCTTGTGCCGCCCTATTTCCTCCACCGTAGCGGTCAGCGTCCCTTCGTCCGTCGGTTGATTTGGTGCTTTGATTGGGC